TGCCTTTTTAGCGCAGATAGGCATTAAAATGACTCTAAATGTAACTATTGTGCCTTTCGAGATACGTTAAAACACAAATTCTGGGAGTGCAAAAGGATTCAAATATTTCTGAAAGCAATCAAAGGGAATTTAAAGCGTTTATTTAAAGTTGATTTCGATTTTAACGCCCAGGACATGGTTTTTGGAAGGCAAGCTAATAAGAAAAATATCTTACCAAATAGGCTTACCCTTGCAATTAAGTACTATATTTTTATCAAAGAGTTCGACGAAGTGAATCCCAATCTGTATGAGGCGCAATTTGAAAAAAATATGTTTTATTATGTACCTGAACTTAAAAGTATGACTGTTGCAAATGTCTGAATGAATGGAGGTGGTGTGAAAAATATCTGAACTGTTCTAATTATTGTACTTGTACTGTTTGAATAGAGAAATAAAAAGAAACAAAAAACAACATAATATTAGGCTACTTACATGGGCCTACTTCCCTCGTGTTTAATGATAGCGTTATTAACACAATGCGTGGTATTTTAATGTGCATTATTTACTGATAACTTTATTTAATTAATAAAATTTTATTTTATTTATTATTTAGAAAACCAGGTCTGTTTCGATTCCTACACTGTACCTGACAAGAAATAAGCGCTTCAAAGTCGATCGTGTTCTTTTGGTTCCCAGTTTTGCCTTTTTACAGCATTTATCCATAGCTTTCTTTTTACAGGTGACTTCTTGTCACTCGGAAAGCGATAAAACGTAATGCCGACTTGTTCTCTATTCGAACATTCAACAGCAACGCAGCATTTAGGCATACTCTTTTAACTTTTTCTCATCACTTCGTCGCCATTTTGAGCACTGGTTGCTTATGACGTTTTCTAGATGGCCAGCAATATTTTCTGGCCGGACAAAGGCATGACGTCACCCTGATGCATAGGGTAATTTTGCCCAAATGTAAGAAAGTGGCAGTTTCCCCCAAAGCTGAATTTTGAAATAAATATTAATATATATTGCTACAATGTAGCAATTTAAATATCACACATGCTATTGCTTACTGTTTCTGTTGACCTGACACGTGTATCTAGCCTTTAAAAATGAAAATCATTACCCCTAACATCACAATTAATATTTATTGGAAAATCTGTGATTTCGTTTTTACTTGTTTGATTTCAATAATATTGGTATAATTGTAAACCTTATTAAATTAAGCATTGTATTCTTTGAAAAAGTTGGTCAACAAAGGTCAAATCGTGGTGTATTTTTGACATTTTGAGATACGGTATCAGTTTTTTGATGCCACAAATGCTACGATTCCTAAAAGGACAATTTGTTAATATCTTTTAAATGAAACTAAAATCAAGGTAAACGCTTTTCTATAATTGAACTTATGCTCTTTCAAAGATAGCAGATATCGCGAAATCCAATTGAAACCAATGTAACGTGAAATTGAATAAACAATTTCAAGTTCAACTTTTTTGTCCCAAGAATTCATATTAAGATGTACAACAAAAGGCAATCGGTGATTTAGTAAGAAAATTGATCATTCCTTATTTACATCTTCTAATGAGATACATGTACCTTGAATCCAAACAGAATTTTATAGAAATATTTTTACTAAATTATTCAACACAGGGCAACGGAGTATCGAGTTTGATTAATGGCTGCATCCTCCTTGCATAAACGTGAACATTCGTCAAATTATTACCACGTGTATACACGTGATCACTGTTTATCAATACATGACTGCTTTAAATAACATAACGCATCATCGTGTATGTAACGACCCACCAATATATAATATTTTTGTGCCGCTACTTTTATTCGAATCAAATGCTAGATTTGTGATCATTTTGTAATTATCTCACTTTGTTTAGACAAGTCTTTGAATGTTATTAATAAATTGAACCTGTCTCAGACATCTGTCTTGTATTTTGTATATTAATCATCTGTAATTCTCTTTGATTTGTATTTCAATTTATATTAATTCTTGGAATTTATTTAATTTTTATCAAGCAAAATAATGTTCTTTGAGTTAATAAAAGTTATGATCTTATTTGTAATTAAAATTAAATTAATTCACTATATATTATGTTCGCTTTTTCCCATTTGACGGCTTCAGAGAGGGAGCGCCATCTGGGAATTACCCGTAACGCCCCTGGGAGTCAGGTTGTGCTATTTTATTCGCTGCCTACCTACATCTATCAGTAATTAAAGAGCGCATTGCCCCATGGGTGCTACACGGTCAAGTCAAGTAACTTAGTCAACATTCGATATTCGTATGTTCATCAGTATTTACTAGGAATGGTGCCACAATTGAAGTAAACCTCTTGTTAATTATTTTCAATTAACCTATCAGCAAACGTGTTAATGATAATGATGTTCTGTTGCATATTGGTGAAGCAATCTTTGGGATATGACCTTAATTTCTGATTTTCCACTTTGTCCTGTATACCCCGACTTTAAAATATGTATATTATTTGTCATGTTTTATTATGAACTAACCATAAATGTATTTTTTCTTGTTTGCATACAGAATGAACTTTCTGTTTTCGAATATTGAAAGATGGTACTGTATTTATTTGTTCATGATAGGGAGCAAACAAATGCGTGTCAATTTACACAGTAATATCCTACATACTTATATTTCAAGGGTAGTATTGAAGAATAATTAAGAAAATACATGTTTTCAAATGGATTCATCCTTGTCAAAGAAGGTAAATGAGGATATGCGGTTTGAAAAACTAACAACATGTTTCAAGTTCTTACAATTCTTGGTTAAAACAAATAATTTGAAAGTTGTGATTTCGATTGTAATATCCTACTCAATGACATTTGTTGATATTTGTGAATTTTTTCTTTCGGAATGCACATTGCTGGATCACAAAACCTTGCCTTGTTCGAGATGCACGAAAAGTGTATTGTTAATACTTGACGTCGTTCGGATATTTGGATGTGATTGCGTTAATCTCCTACCACTGTAACTTCCAACTAAATTTTTGGAAGCCAAATGTGATAGTCACGAATTGATATTTAAGTCACACGTTTATGCATACATCATGTGTGTACATTAACTGTCGAATACATGCCGACTTACATTTTTATAAATATCTACAGTTAACTCAAATCATCAATTCTCGAAACGGTATCAGATTTGAGTATGATATAAGTCGAGGCTTAAACAAAGCAATAAAATTACGTGAAACCTTCTGTGAAAATTTGAACGATTTTCAAGAATCTTCCTTCAAAGTGTTACCAAAGTGCTCCCCGGGAGTGGAAAATTTCGTCTTGTGTAGTCAAAATAATAGCGGGTGGTTTGAATTTTTGTTTGAGTTTATTGCTTACATCTATAAATTTAAAAATATATCGCCTAATTGCGAGCTACATGCAGATTTTGGCGATCTATCATTATAAAAGGCTAAATATTGTGCAAAAACGAGTTGAAAACGCTTTCATTTGGAAATGAAATTTCCTACATAATCGTCGACTCATGTTTAAAAGTCATGAAAACAAGGTTGAACACAAAACATTGACCCAGTTATTGTCTACTAGGCATGGAATCACCAAGGGAAATATCATTAATGACTTAAATCGTTTACGGTTAAGTTGTATTCCAAGAAACTTATCAGTTTTTCAATTATATAAAATGGCACCTGTAGAGAACAACAGAGATATTTAATATGTAACATTGATTGGCATGTGTCAGGGAGTAAATAAGAAGAACAGGTATTTGAATTGATTCTATATCTTGTTCCCAAAGGAGTTTGTTAAGGAGCGGTATATCTTAACGTACTTTTATCATCCCGAACTCAAACATTTCGAATACTTATTTCGAGAACGCTTTGTTGAGAATGGATTCGAGATGTACTCAAAATTAATACGTTAAAATGTGTATTATCATCTTAATAACCACCTCACAAATTATTTTGGAAATCAAAGATGTACGATTTTTGAGATTTTTATTTTCGAATGTTGAGTTAGTTACTTGACTTGACTGTACAGTTATTTTGAACATCAACCCAAGAATAGTACAATAACGTCATTTCAAAGGGCAATATAGTAAAATATTGGACCGAGGGCCGAAGGCACAAGGTCCAATATTTCACTATATTGCTAGCAGAAATGACGTTATTTGTATTATTACCACCGTTAACGACCAGGGCTGAAATAGCAAGAAAATCTTACGCACTGAACGATATCTAATTTCCCGGGGAAAAATTGCCGGTCCAGAATATATTCTAGACCGGTCCATATGGACCACCACTATGACGTCACACATTTCTCAAGTCGATATAGTAAAATGAATGCCTTCTTAACTAGCACTAAAACCCCTAGAACTGGCCCGGCAAGGTGGTAATACTAGTTCAATAGCTTGGTATAAAAAGCATGTCACATTTGATTACATCCAATCAATATAGAATAAGACTTTTAACCATAAGACGTGCATATTGATATATGATATTTGATATTTTTAGAGAATGTGATTATGTTGTCAAACTCCAAACAATAATAATTAAGTAAACAAAACACGATTTCTGACTCAGAAGTGGATCACTCTTCGAATTGCCTAACAACGTATTATTACCACCTTGCCGGGCCAGTTCTAGGGGTTTTAGTGCTAGTTTAGAAGGCATTCATTTTACTATATCGACTTGAGAAATGTGTGACGTCATAGTGGTGGTCCATATGGACCGGTCTAGAATATATTCTGGACCGGCAATTTTCCCCGGGAAATTAGATACATGTATCGTTCAGCGCGTAAGATTTATTTCAGCCCTGGTCGTTAATGGTGGTAATAATACTAATAACGTAATTTCTGCGAGCAATATGTATTTTTCACTAATACCCGGGTCACATTTGCTCCAATTCATCGACCGGCGACCGGTGTAAAAGGGTAGGATATCCTATCAAATTATGGCCCTACTCTCCATTGATTTATATGGTGACCTAACTACAACGCTTTCCCTCATTATCTTAAACGCAATCAGGGCCAGTTAGGGCTGTTGAGAAAGGGGACCATAATCCCTGGGGGACCTTCATTTCTTTCACACCGGTCAATTGAGTATTTTGTTCAAAACTTATTTGACACTCTGTACGTCACATACGAAGCATTGAATGTTGTGCTTAAATTATCAAATACTGGGGTTCATTGTGATTTTCTTAAAACCCAAATACCCTGATAAAATCGTTTATATCCAATAAAACGGTCAATGACCTCAAAATTTGCAGTTAAATGTTTGAGTCGACTATGGCCATAGCTCCTCAAAGCATTAAACTGCAAATAAGATGTCTCATTATGTGTCTCTGGAAGTCCAAGAATAAATAATCCCCCTGGTTTGAGCATGCACCAAACTTGCGCAACTGCTTCAAGATCTCCATATGGATTCAGAGGGTCTCCATAGCGACCTAATCCAGAATGTTCAATTGATGAATACGATAATGCAAAATCGAATTCTTGGAAACTACCATTTGCGTATATTTTTGCCATATCATACGGATGGATTTTGGTTATGTTAGGATGAAGGAACGGATTATTGTTATATTCAAGTGTTGTCATGTGTTTTGCACCAGCAGATAAGGCCAATGCTTCAAGCCAGGGTGATTGGGATCCAATCACAACTCCACGATTGTTACTTATTTCATTTTTATATGCGGTTATTGACTTTTTAGGTTCCTGTACGTCATACGTCCCAATTATTTTCCCTGCCTTGTCGTTTTTTATTAGTTGTTCTATTGCTTCCTTTGAAAAATATTTCTCTCTGTTGACCCTTGAAATTGACTTCTTGTCATTAATGTACCAATAATTCTTATTAGGAAGCTCCCCATTTTGTGTAAACGCATCATATAATTCTGCTGGGATTTTCTGAGGTGGTACCGCTGGTGTTGCTGGATTGAGAGCCATACGTTTCATTATTGAACCACATTTGACGGTTTTCCGGATATACGGATAGTATTTCCTCTTCTCTTCAACTTTCACTTCATAGCTACAGATTTCACCACAATCCAGAGAAGTCTCGCCAGGTTCTGAAGAAAGAAAAATGTATGGATGGAATTTACAAATAACACTCTATTAAATTGAATGACAATTATTCGGCAAATTGACAATTTGAGGTGCGCAATAACTACGGGGCCCATAGCAAACCATGGCTTATTCGTGTGTATGCATTTAGGTGTTTTTTTAACCAATACATCATTGCAAAACACGTTTTTAAATTTTAAGTGCTATCTCAGGTTCAGTGATTCTAGATTTGTAAGTGAAATCACTAAACTGGAAAGAAAGAGGTGCGCTTATTGGTAAATACCCCTATGGTCAAAATTAATAATTTTTATGTGTAACATGAAGAATAGAATGTCATATAACTCTGGAAAATATTATTTAAAGTGCTCGGGCACACATAGGCTGAGATAGGGGCCATTTAGTTCAGTAAGGTTGTATTGACTTACATGGGGCTGTGCATCATTGACTTAACATGAGGATATCAGCAGATCCCAATAGAGGCCATTGGTTTTCATTTATTATCACAAAAATACCAAAAGTACACTATGACCTGAATCGATTGCAAATTTAATAATTTTACAATATGACACAAATGGTTTACCTCATCAAATGTGCAAATATGAAGTTTGCAATCGATTCAGGTCATACTTTAAATTAAAAGATTGTACATTTTTCATCATTTTTTCCCTACAAAATGGCTCTAGAAAAATGCTCCAAAAACAACTTTTACACTTATCAAATATCATGCAAGTTTGTAAAACCAAAGATTATACTATAATTATAAATCATTATTTAGTAAAATATTTGGATAAGATGTATGTACTTCCTGGTTTGGAATCTATGCCTCTACACTTCATGATTGAATGTTGACCCTAATAAGGGCCCTATACACCAATACAGTGCTGAATATAGGTCAACAGGCCTAGGATACTAGTGTGCATATATATGTAATAATAATGGCAGTATACTCATTTTGAAAAATCAGATGAATTAACTTTTTTCATGGGGAGATCATAATGGAGAGCGCACTACTTCCTTTCTGCTCTGGTGGTTGCAAGATGAATAGAGTAAAAATAGTTTGTACATGTTAGTTTGTATTATACTATATAATGTGGTGTGCAATGTTAGAAATTGTGAAATCTAATTAGCTATATTCTGTGTTTTGAGAATTTCAAATCGGATGACTTATTTAAATCATTTTGCATCTAAGAATAATTATGAATTTTTTTAATTAAATGTCTTTATTTTACCATCAATCATGTATTTAAAATAATTAATATTATTTCATTTTTTGGCACATTCATTATTGTAGTATCAGGTTGTGGCGTTTGTTTTGTGTTGTCTTGTCCCTGTTTGCGTTGTGTTAATTTGGCAATGGGATGTGTTTGGTTATTTGTTGATTTTGTTCCGGTGTGAAAGAAATTATGCCCCCCCCCAGGGATTATGGTCCTCCTTTTTAATGGCCCTTACTGGCCCTGATTGTAAATAAGATAATAAGGGAAAGACGTCACCATATAAATCAATGGAGAGTAGGACCATAATTTGATAGGACCTCCTACCCTTTTACACCGGTTGTGCCAGGTATTATTTTGCTGGTTTGGTGCTGGGTTATGTCCAACTGCGTTTTGTTATTTGACAGTGGGCTATGTCCTATTGTGCTGTGTGATTGGTGATTGAGGTTGTGCCTGGCTTAAAATTTTGGCCATGATTGTGTTCTAGGTGGTGTGTACCTCATGATATGTGACTGTGGGTTGTTGATTTGAAAAATATGTTTCGATTAAGTGTCAAATTGCTCTGAATGTGTTGTATACATGTACTATATTAGGTGAATTCTAGAAATGGAATCAGCCATTTTGATAATAATATATCGGCTTGGCGCTTACCATTTTTTCAAAAAAGATTTTTTTAACCTTGGCTGTAATATTATCGACAAGGCCTTTCTTTTTGATGATTAACATACTAATAGTAAGCCTTGCCTGTAATATTATCGTCAAATCCATATAATATACATTTTCCTCTAAGATCAAAAACAAAATGTTACAAGAACACAAATGTGTACAAAATGTCCCCACCAATGGGTGATCCCGTCAAATAGTTATCCTGAAAATGAGTAGACAATACTTTACCAACACAATTTTAGGACGAAAAATCCAAAATGGCCACCTTAAAATTTACCCAGAATGCTAAAAATTTAGTCAGTTCTAGATTTTTAAACTAAGAATCACCCCTGAAAATTTTTGATTAATCTGTCACACAGTTAACCAGAAAACATGTAAACAAGACTTTATAGAGAAGATTTTAGGAAGGAAAATGGCTGCCTTGACATTGACGCAGAATGCCAAAAAACTAATGAGATGTAGATTTTCATACTAAGAATCATCCCTGAAAATTTGAAATTGATCTACCAAACGGTTCACCTAAAAACGCGTAAACAAGACTTTACAGGCAAGATTTTAAGACGGAAAATCCAAAATGGCTGCCTTGACATTTATCCAGAATGCCAAAAAACTATTCAGATCGAGATTTTCATACTAAGAATCATCCCTGAAAATTTGAAATTGATCTATAGAACGGTTCACCTGGAAATGTGTAGACAAGACTTTACAGACAAGCTTTTAGGACGGAAAATCCAAAATGGCTGCCTTGACATTTACCCAGAATACCAAAAAACTGACCAGTTCTACATTTTCAGACTCAGAAACATCTCTGAAAATTTGAAATTGATCTACCAAACCGTTCACCTGAAAACGCGTAGACAAGACTTTACAGACAAGATTTTAGGACGGAAAATCCAAAATGGCTCCCTTGACATTTACCCAGAATGCCAAAAAACTAATCAGATCTAGATTTTGATACTAAGAATCATCCCTGAAATTTGAAATTGATACCCAGAATGCCAAAAAACTGATCAGTTCTACATTTTCAGACTAAGCAACATCTCTGAAAATTTGGAATTGATCTACCAAACGGTTCACCTGAAAACACGTAGACAAGACTTGACAGACAAGATTTTAGGACGGAAAAATCCAAAATGGCCGACAATAAAAAAGTGATTGTGAGTTTTTGCTGATTTCTTTTTACAAAATTATCACATATAACTACTGTTAATAATAACATAGGCTTTTACAACAAAGTACATCTGAAATTATTTATAAAGCTACTAAATAGTTAATGTATGAAAACTCAAAAACACCATTCAATATGATACAAAGTATTATCGTTAACTTTTCTTAAGACATTCAAGATGGCTGACATGACTGAGTTAACAGGTCCAAAACCTAATCAGATCTAGATTGAAGTGAGCTGAACAAGATGAAAAAGTTTTAAAAGCAACTGTGAAGCCGTTTTTCTTAAAGTTTGCAGACAAGGATTTTAGCATTTGACTTCAAAATGGCCGACAGGAAGAAGGTATCGAGTTAATTTTTTTTCATCCACATCTGTATGCACAGATGATATCCGGACGTACGGACGGACAGACGGACGGACAGACAGACAGACGGACGCGCCTAGGCCGACAATATGGCCCCACACTATGTGGTGGGGACATAAAAACGTTCATAAATTCAAGTAAGCCATGGTTAAATCAAGGTATCATAACTTCATGTAAAAACAAACACAAATTATATCATAAATACATTACACATCCTTCTATTGAAAATCAAGAGGCTTACAAAGTATTTATAAACAAATTGCAACATATAATTCGCTTTTTCTGAACAAAAACACATTATAGTTCTAAGTTCCATGAAGTTAAAGGTAATCTAGGCAAACTTGGTCAATTATTTATAACATTTTGAGAAGAAATAAAAATTCAAATGCATCTGGATTTAACATGCTCATTAATAATAGTTTAACGAAAGATAAATTAACTGTGGCAAACTATTTGTCTTCATAATTTGCAAATGTTGGTCCAAAGATTTTTGTTTGCATCAAAAATTAATTCCAATGGGTCACCATTTGCCAAGAAACAAACATTCTATATTTCTGGATCCTGTTACTGAAGATGAAATTTTAGCTTTAATGCAGGGTCTTGGTGTTTGGAGGAGCATGGAAATGTGCACTTCTTGGCTTTGTTAGATTATGATAAAGCTCAAACCATAGTTTCTTATAAATATTTCATGTCTACCATTTTGTTTGCCGGAACTACTTCTAGACTTCCTGATTAATCCTCATACAAGTTTTGTGAGTTCACCAAGTGACATGAATTATCACTAGTATATTTTATCTATAACAGTATAATAATCATGATAGATACATGATAGAGGCTTTATGAATGATAAACAGTGGATACATGAGTGAGGATTACTTTGGACTAGAAAATAGTCCATGCAAACAAAATGGTGGACATGAAATATTTAGAATTCGCAATGGTTTGAGCTTTATTATACTCTAACAATGCAAGAAGTACACAGTTTCATGCTCCTTTGATGTCCATTGGTAAGGTAAGATGATTTGTGGAAATTTTGGAGTCTTACAAATGTGTCTCCGTTGCAATCATACTCCTTAAACGTTTAAAAGGTTGTCCTCCTTCACTGTTTCCGTGCTAGCTTTAGGGACCCAAGCACCTCCAATTCATAGTTAAATGCGTTTTAAATGTGAAGTTTTGTTTGACATGTCTCTTTAGTCAGGAAATGCATTCACATATAAGGAAAACAGGTACACAAAATCATATCAAAAAAATATGGCTGCCATTTTTGTACTTTTGATTAACTTTAGCGTTTCCTTAACTACAATCTATGGACGATAATATGATATCAAGTTTGTTACATGGTGAATTGTGATATCATGGATGATCTTAGAATGTGTCTAATTTTCGGGAAATCAATGTTGAGCCAAATTCATATCTTGAGATTTATGAGGAATTAGAAGGAAATTCCAAAGAAGACGTCAAATGAAAACAAAAGGTGAGATCATAATAAGGAAAAAGATAGCTTTTCAAATCATTTTTTCTTCATTTTTTCTCTATTTCTAGAGATGAATTCAAATTCTATCACATTGGAGATATAAAACATAATTACTTACTGTTTTCAGTAGACTGTATTTTCCTCGGTACTATTGGTTTCGGATTTCCCCCTGTCATATATACCCTCGGCAATATCATAGAGATGTATAGAAGACATGCCAGAAGTACCAGAACTGGTAATTTAAATTTACTTGTATGCGATAAGTTCATTATGTCTATTTATTTTCCTCAAGTTGTTTTCATATGCGTATATTGTGTACAGTAATCAGTCAACCAATTGATGATCACAGTGCGCCCTCCATTATCATCTCCCCATGAACAAAAATAAATTCATCCTATTTTTCAAAATAAATATACTGTTTTATTGTTACATTTATATGCACACTAGTATCTTGTTGACCTATATTGAGGACAGTATTGATGTATGGGCCACTTATTAAAGTCATAATTCAATTGTGAAGTGTAGAGGCATAGATTCCAAACCAAGAAGTATTTTTGTGTCTGTCAAAATTCATTCACATTCTACACATTCCTAGTCCTACATCTTATCCAAATATGTTATTAATTAATGAAACATAACAGTATAATCTTTTAATTTTTAAGTCATGTTTCCAGGTATTTATTATCACATTTTATTCCATTTCCAAACGTTTTTACTTCGCAACCGTGTGTTTCTAAGAGAAAGCGATAAACAAACCCCATCTTGAACAATATATTATTTTGTACAGCTTTTCAGAAAATTCAGAAAAATCATCGTTACTTGATTCATCCATTCCAATTATATGAGTCTGGAATTGAGATTGGAAATGAAAAAAATGTGATTTTGAAAGATTGTTTGTGTTTTTAGTAGAGGACATGTGTCAAATCCGAGTATGTCTGCAATTTTTTCCACATTTGCTAGTAGAAACAAGTCAGTGCCTTGAGTTCGTTTTAAGAAAATAATGTTCGTTACCATCAGAAAAACGTGTTAGCATACAAGTTGTAATAATTTGACGAATGTTCAGGTTCATGCAAGGAGGATTGGCAATCATTATTCAAACTCGATACTCCGTTGCCTTGTGTTGAACAATTTAGTAAAACTATTTCTATAAAATTCTGTTTGGATTCAAGGTACATGTAGTTCATAAGAAGATGTACGAGGGTTGATCCAAAAGTTCCGAACCGTTTGCTCTAAAAATCTTAATACCTTCTGAATATTGTTCGTATTTGGCCACAACCACCCCTTATATAGTAGTTTCATTTTGCATAAAGATAAGTTATAAACTTGACCAGCAACATAGGTGTCTGGTTACCATAGCAACATGACAACAGGGTAGGTGGAGCAAGAGCATGACACAGTTATCTTGGTTCAACGTCAATGGAGCTTATTATTCAAAGGTCAATTACAAAACCTTATCACTCACTTATAAAGTTGTAAACTAAATTACTTTTATGAGGTACTAAGATCTATTTTGAGTCAATCAATTAGGTATGACACTTACTCAGTCATTGTCAGTTTAAAAATGTTTTCCAAATGCTGAAGAAAGATCTTAAAGATGCTATGAGAAAAAACGGCCAGATCTCCTTGGGAACTTTTACTTTCACCATGATAATGCCCAAGCCCGCAGAGCCAATGCTTCAATAGAGGCAATACACGAGTGCTTACAGGCCCAACTACAGCCCCATCCACCATATTCTTCTGATATGGCACCATGTGACTTTCATATGTTTCCTGAGGCCAAGAAACCACTGCGTGGTATCCATCTTGATGATGAAGCTGACGTTATCCAGGCATTTACTAATAGCGTTTATGCTACAGATAAAGGTGAACTTCACCATGTATTTCAGAACTTGTTGAAACGCTGTAAAAAATGTGTAGCACATGGTGGTGACTATTTTGAAGGCGAATGAACTTATAAACTATAATTACCTATTGTAGGAGATTTTATGGGGGTGAAACTCCATGAATTGAAGTGATCTGAAATAGCTCTTCAATTGCTGTAATTCGGAATAAAGTTATATTTATTCCAGCTCCACCTACCCTGTTCTCATGTTGCTATGGCAACCAGACACCTGTGTTGCTGGTCAGATTTATTCTTTATTTTTACACAAAGTGAAACAGCTATATATGGGGTGGTTGTGGCCAAATATGAACAATATTCATATAATATTGAGATTTTGAGAGCAAACGGTTCGGAACTTTTGGATCAACCCTCGTATATAACGAATTTTCTTACTAATTCTATACATATGCTATATGTTCGGGTGTTACTGAAACGTATTTTTTTTGTGTAATTGACAACCACCAACTAAAAATTAAAAACGAATGGTCAATTTAGACCATGTAATTTTGTTTTGCTGTCCATATTCTGAAATTTTGTTTGGTATTTATAATATAGACAGATATAACAGAAATCTAAAGTATTTGTTGACGCAATAAACTAAATATTTATTAATAGTAACGGAGGTTTTTAATGCCTTATTCAAATAAATGTTGGTTGACATATAACATGGCACATCTTGAAAACGAGGAAGAGATAATTGAAAATATTTCACAGTATTATCCAACAATATATGTTCTTATGTCTAAACAAAAAAATAATCAGTGCTTCTCTGACTTGAAAAATCAGATTTTTCAAACTTGAATTTAGAGATTTTTTGGAATTTGGGTGCTATTCAATAACTGCGAGCGTAGGCGAGCGTAGGAACAGGCCACAGGGTCGCCGAAGAAATTATAACTCGGAGTTATAATATTTGTTCATTTCTGAGGTCCCCGTAGAAATCAATTACTGGCTCAACAAGATTGAATCATTATTTGTCAATGTTTCACGATCACTTTTCATTTGATATTACATCCTAGCACTATGAAAAACATTTATAAATTGTCCTGATGTAAATAAAATGAAAAAGGTATTATTTATCAACAGAAACTTAAAATTCACCGTGCGGCTGCCGTGGGAAATGTGACTGCAAAAGTATGAGAGCGCAGAAATTCTACGGCGAGCGTAGAAAAGCTACTGGCCGCAGAAATGATAGACCGCACGGAGGCTGTGGGAAATGTGACTGGGTGTTATCAATACATGACTATTTTAACATTTTATAATATATTTGTAACGCATAGTCGTGTACTATTTTATCATATTGGCCACTATGTTAGCAATGCATTAACACCCCAGTCACTTTTGTCGCACGGCGGCCGCAAGTCGACCGCAGAACAATTAAATCGGTGAATTTCTGCGGCGAGCGTAGAAAAACTACGCTCGCCTTGCGGCCTCCGTACAGGTCGCAGGGAAGGCGTAGAAATTATAACTCGGAGTTATAATATTTGTTTATTTCTGAGGTCCCCGTAGAAATCAATTACTGGCTCAACAAGATTGAATCATTATTTGTCAATGTTTCACGATCACTTTTCATTTGATATTACATCCTAGCACTATGAATAACATTTATAAATTGTCCTGATGTAAATAAAATGAGAAAATTATTATTTATCAACAGAAACTTAAAATTCACCGTGCGGCTGCCGTGGGAAATGTGACTGCAAAAGTATGAGAGCGCAGAAATTCTACGGCGAGCGTAGAAAAGCTACTGGCCGCAGAAATGATAGACCGCACGGAGGCCGTGGGAAATGTGACTGGGTGTTATCAATACATGACTACTTTAACATTTTATAATATATTTGTAACGCATAGTCGTGTACTATTTTATCATATTGGCCACTATGTTAACAATACATTAACACCCAGTCACATTTGTCGCACGGCGGCCGCAAGTCGACCGCAGAACAATTAAATCGGTGAATATCTGCGGCGAGCGTAGAAAAACTACGTTCGCCTTGCGGCCTCCGTACAGGTCGCAGGGAAGGCGTAGAAATTATAACTTGGAGTTATAATATTTGTTCATTTCTGAGGTCCCCGTAGAAATCAACTGGATCAACAAGATTGAATCATTATTTGTCAATGTTTCACGATCACTTTTCATTTGATATTACATCCTAGCACTTTGAATAATATACTAACAGAAAGGCATGTTTGTTATGCTTAGAATGGAACAAGTTTGAAGAAAAACGGTGCAGTATAGACTCGCAATCCTTGATTTTCATACATCTGGAATGTCCAAAATTCACATTAACGATTTTAAACGTGCATAGTTGGATCCGCGTGATTATGGACGATATAAACATTATTAAAGCGTCTATGTATAGTTCGACATGGCAAATACTGGCAGAAAACTCTGTAATACCATGTACTTCTAGCAACACACTGAAATGTTATTGTTGTTTACGATCAGATGATACGTCACAACTTTTAATCAATGCATCTATATCCATCTGAGTGCATCGTTACATGTCACACTAGTCACGTGAGAATTTATAATTTTAACGAGTCCGTTTTTGTAAAACAATCCGTTTTTGTAAAACAATAAGATTTGAGAGCTCACGATCTCAATGAGTTTCAGCAACTTATACATTCCTGATATAGCGAGATAAATAGTGACATAAAAAAGGACGAAAGCGCCGAAAACGGAACAAATCGTGGAACTTTCCATATATGACCAGACAACCTTCCTGGGTGTAAAAAGCAACTGTGCCGAAAGTTTCCTCCATTTTTTGTCTATTTTTCGCAATTTTTACCCCTACCCCTAAAATTTATAGGGGTAGGCTTAATGACCATCCATAACATTTTAGGATTATCATTAAATAGTATCATAATTTCAATGTTGGGACCTTTTACCATGATACACATGATAATGAGTGAGATTGCAGTCAATTTTTAGCAAAATGAATATTTACTTATCTTTAATTAATTCCTTTTATCTCTTTTCCATAGTGGCATGTACTTCGACATAATAAACAACGTAATTTTAATTGAAAATAAAGTTTGACAAACTATGTGACATCTGATGAGTGACTTGAATGCAAATACAGAATAATCTAGCAAAAAGTGTATCTTTCTTAAACAACTACCAAAATCACTTCTTGTTTTTGACAAGGTCATGCTTGAGTGACAATGAGCATCAACGTTTATGATAGGATCTAGATCAGTTTTTGTAAGTATGATTTTGACCTACATGATTAATAAAAATAATCAAGAAGTTGTTCTGTTTATTTTGATTAAAGAGGCTCTATGCCATAGGATAGCAAAATCAAGACCCTCTGGACATTTTGCATATTAAGTTTCACCACATATATACCCATCTACTTACCAAAGAAGAAGTCCCAAATCCCCCTCTTTCAGTGTTAATTTCGCAATTGTGCTGGCCGATCTAATTATTTTCGAAGAAATTAATTCAATCTGAAGTGTGAATATACCGGGAAAGTTGTCCTGTTATCTGATTGGTCGTTGAATTTG